TGTAGATGGGAAACAAATATTTGTATCCAAATACGAACAAAAAGAGGCAGTTGAATCCAACAAGGACTCGTCTAATAAGACCAATATTAAATGGAAGAAACAAGAGGAGGCCTTGAAAGACGAAGAGAGTATAGCAGAATCCGGAAGAATGTTTATCAGAAATCTGACGTATACAACTACGGAGGATGACATCAGGAAACTGTTTGAGAAGTACGGTCCTCTGTCTGAAGTGGATTTACCTGTGGATAAAATCACTAGGAAACCAAAAGGATTTGGCACAGTAACGTTCCTGATGCCAGAACACGCTGTGAAAGCTTACGGCGAACTGGACGGTTCTGTATTAGATGGTAGAATGTTACACATTCTTCCCGGAAAGGCGAAAGCCTCCCTGGAGAATATCGATACTGAAAATTTAACTTATAAACAAAAGAAAGAACTGCAGACCAAGGCAACCGCGGGTTCGTCACATAATTGGAATACACTGTTTCTCGGGCAGAACGCCGTGGCGGACGCTGTCGCGAGTCGCTACAACACGACGAAGGAGAAATTACTGGAAGACGGATCGAATGGAATGAGCGCCGCGGTCAAACTGGCATTAGGAGAAACGCAACTGGCTGAAGATACGAAGGCTTTTTTGGAGGAAAACGGCGTGTGCTTGGACGCTTTTAATGAAGCACCAAAGAAGAGATCGACCACCATAATCTTAGTGAAGAATTTACCGGCTCAGACAAAACCGAACGAACTGCGAGAAATGTTTGCCAAACATGGGGAGCTGGCGCGTATCGTAATGCCACCAGCGGGCATAACAGCGCTGGTAGAATTTCTGGAGCCATCCGAAGCACGCAAGGCTTTCCGTGCATTAGCTTATACGAAATATAAGCATCTACCGTTGTATCTGGAATGGGCGCCAGATAACAGTTTTACCACGCCCGCCTCTAAAACTAAGGCAACTAAAAATAATGCAACTACCAAAAAATCAACAGATTCCGAAGAAGTTAAAGATGGAGCAACGGTAAAAGAACCTAAAGAATCTAAAGAAAATAAGAATAATACGCGTAAAAAGGAAGATGACGAGCCGCCCGAACCAGATACAACGCTTTT